TAAGATTTTCTGTATTTATTCACCACTGGCTAGTAAATTGCCGGCGATTGCTAATTGCCTTCGACTTATACTTTCATTAGTCCTTTAGGCTTCCATACGGGCCTTTCGGTCATCTTTCCTAATTATTACTGTACCTATACATATCCTTTATTCTAGAAAAGAATAGACCGAGGAATTAAATTTAGACCCTCTGTCATTTACATCAAGTCAAACAAACCTGCGTAAGCACAAAGTTGGCAACTTTCGTTCCTCACGCCGGGGTTCACAGTGGGGGTTAACCAGCCACGCCGTTCTCTGACAATTGTTGGGTATTTTCAACACGAGTCGCAAACGAAGCTTAAAGAAGAGTTTCCGTTCAAACAGATTTGGATCGGATGATTACCGCGCACCACAAGATTATCCCTGTGCATACTTTCCTCTGTCTCTTTCGTTCCTCCCTCTTCCATCCCTGTTTTTCGAGATTATATTCTCAGCTCCGTCAAAAAGCCGTGATCTCAATCTATTTGAATACAACGAGTTTTTGATGCAATTTCATAAGTGTAGCGAGGAAGCAACTCGCGCTTCGAGTGTATTTTACGATCTTAATTGGGTGGAACATTCATCCTATTTTAAAAATATTTGTAGCTCATATCAGAATGAATTGTCATAATGCGAGCAGTATCCTCTACTATCCGTATCAAATGACGAAGGAGGCGTTTACAGGGACGTAATCTTGTATTGAATAATAATTGGATTGAATTGTGTTTGTTCAGATATATTGCTTTGACGTACAAATAAAGCGTAACTGGTGTGTCTGCGACCTGAAAGCCAAGTGCTTAGTACCTCACGGAGGTCGCAAATCCGAACATATGTACAGTGGGACGAAGCTAAGGCACGCGTAACTCCGAATCGGGTATTATCACTTAACTGATTCCCGTAACCTTATTCGCATTAGGAAAAAAAATAAATAAAAAATAATGCTCTATACTCTGAAGTAACAATGTTGTAACAGATATTTATGGTGATACTATCAAATCTCACGAGGATCCGATCAAAAAAACTATACTTGCATGTCATAATGCAATGATGATGTGAGAGTGATAAACAATAAAATGTTACAGGACATTTCGTCAACGATTTTTTGTCCACGCACCTGTTTTTTCCAGTAATTTACCCCCACGAGTTTTTTCGGCACGGGAGTTTTGGTTCAAGTGCCAGTTGAGACCCAAAGTTAATTGGCCCACATGTAAATACATACGACAATTGCTCACGACGTTTTTGAATGAAAATATATAATGTCTTGGAAGAATGAGGAGTTGCTTGTTTTTTTTTTGTCTTGTCGGTTTGGTCCAACGGAGAATAACATATAGTTGAGAGTTTTGGTAAACATGGGGGAGCGTCAATTCCATGAGACAAAATTCACTAAAACTCTCTACACCTCTTTGGTGTAACAGGACTTAATTATCTTTCAAGAAATTCCCTCCTTGTTATACCTGAACCGGACAAACTTCTATATTTGCCTCAGCTGAAGGCTCCTACATTTTTCCTGTGTACGAGAAGTATCTTGATTTATTTTGCGAGGAAAGATCTGTACTTTTAAAGGATGCCTGTCATTCTTAATACGTTCAATTTCGTATAATACTGTGCAACACATCTGTTGTGAAATAGTTGCTTCAGGCGCCGCCGCACGGCGGGAGGGTGGCCAGCAAAGACATTGGTGGCCAGCGCGAGAGGCTCACTGGCGCCTACAAACCTAAGTGGATACTTCAAGCATTGTGCAATGCGTGAAGTATCCACTTAGGTTTGTAGGCGCCAGTGAGCCTCTCGCGCTGGCAGCACTCCGCTTCGCTCTGTTCGGCTTTAATATTTAAAGTCCCATAGTCAGCGTTTTTTAACTCATGATTTTGAAATGTTAGTACACTCTGCATTGATTCTCATTTAAATTAATGGGGAAAAAATATGTATCAATTTATCAAAGGAGAATAATAATATAATGTGTGTTTTTTAAATATTGGTGGTTCCGTGTCAAATTTAATGATTTCCAAAGCACTTTAATTTTTTCTTTTACATTTTGTGCTTTTATTGTGCTGCAGCGAGGTGTACGCGCAACGAAACGCTCAAAATTTGACGTATTTGACTCTAAAAGATCGATGTATGTACAAATGGGTTAAAACTAAACATTGCGTGCTTCTTGGTTTTTTTCCCTCTTTTATTCATTTTTGCAGTTTCTGTCGGCGCAACTGCGGCTCATTGAGATTAATGTCGCTTGGAAAAGGTTTTACAAATATTTGTCACGTTAGAGAAGAATTTTTGGTTAAACCACACTTTATCTTGACAACTATGAGGTGTAGAATCAGAAATAACGGTTGGGTTAAAAGCTGAATTTGGACCATGGAATGTATCACCGCAAAAACATAGCCTTATAATTTTTCCGGATTTTCTCAATCTTTGTCTCGAAAGCGAACGCGGGAAACAAAAAATCAACAACGACAACTGCAAAAACGCATCACGGGGGTCAGGCCGCGTAGCGGTCAGGGTGCGAACCCCTAGTTTGCCTATATGAAGAACTTTTTAGAAAAGCGAGTCTGGGACGATGGAACAAGAGAGTTGTCGAAGGATGGCACGAGAGAGAGGTAGAAGAACGAATTACCATAATTTTGAATCCAGGCAAGAGCTGCAGAATTAAAGTGCACTCTCGGTGCATGAGCGACTCCGAATCCCTATGCTCGATGATGTTCGCCTCCTCGTATGAGTCAATGGATGGAAACGACAGGGAAGCTGCAGGAACGCCGCTCTCGAACGCGAAAAGCGAGGAAAAAAAGAAAACGACTCTTCGATCCGAGTATTTGTCGACTCGATATCAGATGTAAAAAGTTCAGAGTTCAATATTTGCAGATCTGCCGAGATGATACAAAGAGAGCTTTCGCGTATGTGTTCCGAAATGCATCCGAGAACCTTGGACGTTGCGATATTTCCAGGGAAACTTTCGCTTGTCCTCTTGACGTGCCTGGAATTTCCAGTTGAATTTTTAGGAATTCTTTTTCTTCAGGAAGTATGACTAATTTAATCTGTTTTCCAAACATGTGCAACTACTGGAGGAGGAGGCAGTCTCAATAATTAGTGATGCTAACCTACCTCTAATTTTTACGGGTTCCTTTTTTTTCCTAGTTTGCAAAATCTTTTTGACACGTTGACTGACCACCAAAATTTTATTTTTTCTCCTAGTTATACCTCAAGATTCACTCTATTCATTTTACGAATTTAAAAATCTAAGTATATAAATAAATACAGCAATTAAATAAGAAACACAATTATTCATCGGTTAATGCAGTCCTAATAAAAGTTGAATGTCTTTTCATTTTCACTTTATAACCCACGTTTCTTATCACTGCCAGCAGTTTTTAAAGAGTGCGAAGCACTTACAGAGGTTGAAAGTTTCCGGGAATTTTTTCTGTAGCATAAATCAAGTCTCTTGATTTTTCCCCCAAATAATCGGTACAATCGTTCATTGAGAAAAATATTAAATCAATTGTCGGAATAAATTTGGCAACAACCAATGTACTCGGTTCTTCAGAAAAACAATACCCGAATGACCCTTTTACATCAAAATTGGACGAGAATGCTTCATGGTCATCAGAAATAGTTCATCGCGAGAAAAAGATAAGTTTGCTAATTTTTTTAGGAGTACAAAGCCAGAGATTACGTATTAAGGAGGAAAACGGTCAAATCGCTAACGAACACTTAAGCACAAAAATGATTTCAACGAAATTTCCTCAAGTCTATGTGTGCTTCATAATGCCTGTTGTGTTGGTGCGACAAGAGTGAACGGTGGGTACGTAAGAAAAACATTGTCCTTTTGGTAACATAAATTTCAAAATCTTCTAATCTATCAGGTTCCAAATCTCGTTGATCAGTTTACGTGCAGCTGAAAGTTGCAGTGAGGATGTCGACTTTGTTATTCGATTGCTGACTAATGGTTTGAACCGCTGAGAAACTAAAGATCGTTCGAGCCAGCTGTAAAGGAAGTTCATCTTATGCGTACAACTTGAGTTAAGATACATTCTTTACAATTTCTAGTCAAATTTAGAGGCTGCGTTTCGCAATGTGCGGTCGATCGTAAGCAAATCAGATTTTGTCTCGGAATGTTTTTTTTGTTTTTTTTGTTGTTGTTGTTTTATCACATTTTATTTTTAACCTCATTCAAAGGAGGAAAATCACAGTTACGATGAAACCATTTTTCTGAGGGATTTATACAAGACTTACATCAAGTGAGCCGCTAGTATTTACTAGGGGGCTATGTCCCCTTACCGCTATGCGGCCCCAAAATTACGTCAGTATGCAGGGGCCATCCCTAATCCCCAAAATTAACTCTGAACTAAAATTTGAGAGACTACAGCCAGCTCTCTCCTTACTTTCCTGGTGCTCTCACTTAATCAGAATCTTTTGTTTTCAATTTTTTGAAGCTACGACCGGCATACATAAGTAGGTGCCCCGTGAACTGTATATTTTGCTCTGATTTCATGTGAAATGTGTGTAAATGCGTTGGTAAATAGAGACTGCTAAGTGGTACTACCGTGTTCTCTCGCAATTTAAGCGTCATTTGGACGTATTTCTACCAAATAGAACTATGTGCGGGTGGAAAAGATGGGGTGTGCTCGTGGTGAGCTGGATAAGTAGCAATGTAAAAGCGCACGTGATTCCTTCGGGTGGAATTGAAAAGCGAGAAGCTTAATCCACCAAACTGAACCATGTGCCAACTGTATGCAGGGCTCATGAGCCGTAGGCATGGGACGAAAGCTTTGTGGCCAGGGCTCATGAGTTAAAGATCACCACGGAGGACCGCGGCAACGGCTTCATTGCCGCTGACGTCACTGGCGCTTTATACTTCCTTTTCATTCTTACCGCCCGAGAACTAACGAGCACACCCTATCTCTTCCACCCGCACCTAGTTCTATTTAGTAGGAATACGTCCATTTATTTTATTTTCAACACCAAGATATCCTCATCATACCTTCTCTCAGCTTTCAGACGAGATGAAATATGGAACCATCACACTCTTCTTGTTCACCTTGCCCCCACTGGTGGTAACTAACACCAACACCCCTATAAAGGACCCCTATGGTATAGACGACAGGCTAGAAATCGTCCATCTCTACCCAGACCAATGGCCGACCGGGGTCGCAGTATCTGAGTCGGGCCGAATTTTCTCCTGCTTCCCTGCCGCGAACGACGAGCTCAACTCCAACAACGGAACCAACAACGTGTTCCAAGTCGCCGAGCTGACCGGCTTCGACACGGAAACCGCCTACCCCAACGAAACCTACAACAACCCACCCGGAGGTTGCGTCAACTTCTCAGGACCCTTCCCACGGACGAAAGGCCTCTCCGACTATCTGCTCAGCGTGCCGACCGTGGCTTTCGACCAGAACGACGTGTTGTACCTCCTGGACAACGGCCGATGCATCTACAACGGCGTCCGTCTCGAAGCGTCCCCCGGCGGCCCGAAACTCGTAGCCGTCGATCTGAACACCGACTCCGTCATCCGGACCTACACGTTCCCCACGGATGTCGTGACGCCTGAATCGTTCCTGGGTGACGTAGAGTTCGACCGCCAGGGCTACGCTTATATCACCGATTTCAGCGCTACAGGGGACAACGCGATAATAGTTCTGAATCTAGACGACGGCGACTCTTGGCGTGTGCTCATGCGTGACGCCTCAGTCGTGGCACTACCTAATTTCGTGCCGTTCGTCTGGGGCCAATCACTGTACCAGGTCCAGTCGAGTGGGTCTGGGAAAATCGTCGGGTTCGAGTCTATCTCGATCGGTGTCGAGGGACTGACCATATCGAACGACTTCAGCACGTTGTACTACACGGGGACTGCGCTGCGGTTCTTGTACACCGTCCCAACGGATCTCCTGCGCAATCGCAGCACGCCGGCAATCGAGATAGTCGCGGCAGTTCGTGTTGTCACTATGCAAGGCGTCACGCCGGTCATTGGGATTGACGACTCCGGCTACATCTATTCGGGTAACGCCGAGCAATCCGCTATAACAGTGTACGATACTACAACGGGATACAAAATTCCATTCGTACGCGACAAGCGGATTGGCTTTATCGGCAGACTGGATATCGTTGATAATACTAAATATTTGTACTTTACGAGCAACCAGTTTCAAAGGCTTCCGATCCTCTATCAGCCGCCGGATCCGTTAGGGGAGGATCGACGACGGAGGCCCTTCGTGTTGTTCAGGATTCCGTTGCTCAACAGCACGACAACAGGACATTGAGCTCTTTAATTTCTAATCCCTTAAGTAACTAGATGCGCGGATAGGATCTGAGGACCTGACGAATTATAAATGGGTTGGATTGGGCAGCCAAGAACCATTTCATATTGTCCGTTGCCAAGTTCCACGGAAAAAAAGTGTTAGGAGTTATCCCCTAAAATTGTGGTACTACCACAATTTTTTGGATTAACTGAGAGTGGAAACTAGTGACGACTGGTGTGAGATGGTTTTTATTTATGCTTTTCATTCATATGTGGCTTACAATGCGGTGTCAAAAATAGGAAATTACAGTTAGACTAGAAAGAATGACTTGAGCAGATAATATTATTATCTTCTGCCACAAATGGCAGGTGATATTAAAAAAATTGTTAAAATAATTCTAAAAGTGATTACGCGCGCATGGAGTATCTGTGATCACAAAATCAGATTTTAAGGTGAGGTGCAAATTTTAGACTGAAATTCTTATATATTTTGAGGTAGACGAAGAAATTTTCCTCCACTGTGGCGAAATTAGCTTCATTTGTTTTGTCCAACACCATATGGGTCCAGTGGCAACCCAGATGCAACGGCCCTTATATGCACCTTCGTGATCTGTGACCCGACGTCGCCCCTTTGTCGAACCAGACGAAACCCGTGAAATGGACAGTGTTGTGTAGTAAGAGAAGTTTTATTTTAAAAATGGCAAAAAGATTAGCGACAAAATGTACTGAGATCAATTCGGATAACGTTCACTCCTTTACGTCTATAATTGAGAGTTTAAAGGAGTACAAAACGGAATTTAAGAAAGTGCAGAGAAAAATGGGAGAGCTTTTTGCGTTCGACGAAAACCTTTTCGAAACCCAATCAGAATTTGATGACTGCTTCCATAATTGTTTTAGATTGTATGATCAGGCTAAATTTAAGGGTCGCTCTGCCACCTTCTCCCGTCCATCATCAATTGACAAACAGATGTCCAACTCGTTTGTCAAACTGCCAAAGTTGGACCTCCCCAAATTCGATGGAAAGAAATTATCAGATTGGGTAGCCTTCAGAAGCATCTTTGAAATCACTATATTTTCGTAGGATAGTTATTGTACCTCTGTTACTTTCCTCGGCTTCATACGAGTAAGCGCAGAGATTCCCTTGTAATGCTGGAGAACTTTGGCGAAAAAAATAATAAAATATATTTTGTTAATGGTTAATTTCTTATCATTTTATAATATTATTTTCACATTATTACCCTCTAAATGATACGCTCAAATGAAGAAACGTAGACGGAGAGGTCTACCTGCAATTCTGCATTTCACCCCAAATTAAAATGATGCGAAATATAAGTTCCTTTCATTTTACCAGTGCTATTAATCTATGTAGAATCTCAACCTTGTATTATGCGCTCCCTTCTATTCGCTAGAATTTTCTCTGTGAAGTGGCAACCTAAATCCACACCCTTAATGTCATAAAAGATAATGGTATTAGGATTAAGGTTATTACACTCTCGTGAGCTGTTTCCACGCTCCGCCCATTTGACTTGACAAGTGTTCGAAAAATTGCCGGCTGGATCTATATTTATTCCCCCTCGCTTGGCGATGATTTCAGTTGTAATCACTCTTTGGGAGCCATCATAGTAGTGTTTTTTCGCAGGTTTCAAGTGAGGGAATAGATCTTTGGGATGGATTGTTGGTCACCAAATTTAGGTGACAGAGGCACCGTTGGATAATATTCTCCATTCATGAATGAGTTAATTTTATTTCCTCGTTGGACACAGATTTTGTGTCGGATGCATAACTTTTGAATTTTATTTTCTGTCAAGTTTTTCGCCTATGTAGCTGCACGGTTTCTCATATTTTACGGTAGATGCTATACATAGAATAAGTTGGAATTTGAAAAGATTTGAGTGACATAGATCAAGTAACTGAGGAGCTTTTCATTAAAAATATGTACCATAAAATCACAGATTGGTGGTTGATTGTTTTACATGAAGACAAAAACTTGGTTCCATAACCAAGATTTAAAATTTGCTTGACCAAGAACAATTAACGGGTTTACAATAATTTGGTGTAACTGCAAAAAAAAATGATAAAAAAACTGATATTTTTGTTTAAAACTATTTCACATATATGAGAAAAGGAAAGAAAAATTATTTATGATAAATACAAAACAGAGAATTAACCGTCAGTCAGTATTTCTGTTGACAACGCTCGACGTAAGACTTACCGTGGACTGTAACGCCTTGATGCAACTATTAGTGCTCGATGGATGTCCGCATTGCATATACAAAATATAGAAGGCGCTCTCGCTTTCCTTAAGCTCTTTGAAGCGTCAAGAAAATGGTTACAGGACTTTTGGCTCTATTTTTTTCCCATGAACTTTTTCGTCCGACGTATTTTTTCCATAGCTTTTTTGCCCTCGAAATCTCGTCAAACACAAGTGAAATTCGTCCTAATTAAGACGTAGTCCCTTATTTTTGTTCGTCCAGCGTTTTTAGATCCCATTTTGTACTGTCCAGCAAGGTAATGTGTCCACTTAAAAACAAACAATGATCCATTCATCCAGAGATGGAAATTGGGAGTAATTTTACATGTATCAAATATAAGTTGATGAGCATCAATTTAAAAAGCTATTCATACCCCTTACATTAAAAAAAAAAATCAATAAAAAAAAAACAAAAAAAATACACCGAAGCACGAATTGCATTTACGCAAAAAGACCAATCCAAGCGGAAATGCATGTAGGCAAAAAGAAATAGCTATTCGAAATAATATTTTCGAATGTAGGCAACAAACAACGAATCAACAAATAACGTCGCATCAAACAGCAGGCAACAACAGATATGCCAAGTTGACGTCAACATTAAAACTCCTATAACTGCCGATTTCTAAAAATTCTAAGCTTTTGCCGTGCAATTTAAGAGTAAAAAACCGAACCAAGAAAGAACTCCTCGATTTTTTCAAAAAAAGAATTCGTGTCTTAGAATCAATGGAATATCGACGAATCGACACGAGCAATGATGAAAGCAAAAATATGAAAACCAATGTGGTTACATCTCCGCTGAAAAGACGGTACTCAACTCATGCCCATAATTTTGTACAACACGGAAACAAGAAAATCAAGACTTCCACATTTCCACCTAAAAATTGTGAGTATTGCTCCGGCACGCACCCTTTACAAGCATGTGCTATTTTTGGCAAAATTTCAATATCAGATCGAATGGTAATCGTGAACACACAATCACTGTGCCGAATGTGTTTGAAAAAGCATGAGTGAGAGCGTTATCAGCAAGAATGCGCTATCTGCAGAAAGAAACATCATCATCTGTTGCATCAAGACAGCGCAGTTAATGAAAATAAAACAGAGTCATCAAGTTCTCAAAATTCATCTTCAAATTCGACCCAACAACACGATAAAGCACTCAGGCACTGTCACTGCCAATAATGTTGGCAATGATTAGCAACAGTGTCAGAAATAACAATCATTACAAGGACACGAACTCAGTTAAGAAGTTCCTCCGACTGTGTGTTTACCACCTTAAGCTGCACAGATTCACAACACTTATGCAAAGAAGACGGTTAATCTCACATATCTGATAGGCACACTGCGATATTTGGATCAAATGGAAGAACTTCAAGGAGAACAACATGGAGATCGACGGCGGGATAGGGAGCAGAAAATGCCCTACTTTGAACCTGCGTAAAAAATAAAGCTTGAGCTTTACTAACGATGAGACAAAAAGCATCGAGTTTAGAGAGAACTGAGGGAAGAGGATAAAAGTGCGTGACTTCGGGGTGCGTGGTGGAAAATTCGAAGTGCAGAAGGAACTCGATAATTGAACCAGAAAATGAATTATCGAGCTGATTCTAAATGAGACATTCTTGCATCCGCGCCGACTGAGATGACCCCCTCTCGTCTTCCAACGATGTCACGTTACTGATGAAATTTATTTATTAATGTTAAAAGGAACTATGTTACCCGCAATACCTATGCACATAGTTCCTATTAGCATAAATACGTCACTTTAATATGTTGATGTTGATCTGGGATGCGAGTCGCGTTTGGACTTTCTTAGTTATCATTTTGTTTTCGAAAAACTGTGAGCTGGATTTTCACCTGAGGCAATAATGTTTATTTTCCTTCGAAGTAAGTCTTGTTAAAATGTTATTGCGAGGTAACAGATGATAAAGCGTAAAACTCATCGGGCCGTGAACTACTGAACATTTTACAGCTCATAAAACCCAGTGACCAACAAAACGTCGCGTCGAAACCAATAAATACTTATTGTCAAGGCCGACTCCAGCCGTGCATCTTTTTTTTTGATGGAACTATAGCTCTAACTTTTGTATACATTTGTGGGTGCCAAAAGTCAGTATTGTCCAAATTCCATACTTTGATAGAATAGTTTACCCCCAATTTTAAATGGAAGTCATGCAAAACTCTTAGAAACGGCAACGATCCGGCTATCAAATTTTCGGCCTGTTGAGTTTTTAACCCCCACCCAATTTATTGTTTTATTATAACCATGATATTATACAGATTTGAAGTAATTTACCTGGCCAAAGTAGATACTACCAAAAGTTTGTGAAGGGTGTTGTTGTTGTTGTGTCCGACTTCGTCAAGATTTTGAACGTCATTAACTATTTCAACTGATAATTACCTGAAACAAAGAATCAAATTATCTGCAATCAGTTTCAAGTATTCAATTAGTATTCAGGTAATTTAATTCACCACGTTTGCATACTTAAAAGTCATATTGATGGTGAAAGTCGGTAATCACATAACTCGGTTTGCGACGTCGCAGACTTCCTGTCATACTTTATTTTTTAAACGGAAAACTACTCAACGGTAATTCTTTAAAACTGCCGTGATTTTTCTTCTATGTGCGAGGAAAATTCTGCAAAAACTTCAAGGAATCATGTCCATTTGTTCTTCTTTAAAAAAATAACATAGTTGCGGAGATTTTCAGTTACCGCAAACGAGTTATGTGATTGCCGACTTGCACCGTCGATATGCTTTATAGACCGTCGTGTATAACTTGAGCGATTGATCAAAAAATAGCCGCCCATGTTTACCTATGATAATCATAATCATCTGTCGAAGATATGCTTTGGT